TTATAGTCACAAAATATATGAAAACCAAAAGTAAAAACCTATGACTACAACTCTACTAAATAAAACTTTAATTAGTGTCGTTAAATTTTTAGCAAATAAAATTAAAAACCGAAAATAACAACATTATTGAAAAAACATATATATATGTATAGAAATGTTTAAAAGTATGATTTCATTTAGTATGATAGTGTTTTGATTTTGGGTTTTTTGTTGCCAAAATTTAACAATTAAAATTAAGAATTGAAAACTAAACTAAAAATTTTAAAAAGTCAATTTATTAAGTATAAGCTTTTCGAACTCAAAACTGAAAACTTACACCCTATATTGTTAGGGTTTTGGTTTTTGATTTTTGGTTTTTATTCTTTGTATATTTAGTAACTAATTTTATATTTATAAATTAAAATTTATTATAAAAATTTAAATTTATTAAATTTAATTTAAATATAATATTGGTTAGTAAATATATAAAAAAATAAAAACTAAAAATCAAAAAACAAAACTATACTAAACTGAGCCTTAATTAATTTACAAATTAAACTTAGGTTTTCAAAATTTTTTAAAACTAAAATTAAAAATAAAAAACCACAATCATATTAAATAGAGCCTAACATTTTTGTTCAATAAAAAACAAAATAGATACATAGAGTGAGAGGTTACTTGTGGTATTGACGATGGCTATTGGAATGTTGCAGACGAGCGTTGGTGAAGCCGCTGAAACCAAGTTTAGAGAGAGAGAGCTACGGATCAAAGGAGGGATGCATTGCCTCACACTCCTTAGCTTGCCTTACATGGGGGACGCCTGAATTTGTTGGGAAATCTTCCAATTTATGCAGAAAAGTTTTCCACAACACAAATGGAAGCTTGCATCATTCAAAATATTAAGCCAAACAGGGCACTCTATACTCTATCCTCTACATAAAATGATGGTTAAATGCCAATTTTAGTCCCTTAACTTTAGGGTTTTGTATAGTTTTCATCATTTAACTATTTTATGCACTATTTTGGTCACTCAACTAAAAAAAAAAGTATTTTCTTTTTGCCCTTCCATTAGTTAGTCCATTAAGTCCATACATATATGCACATTATTATTATTTTTTTATCTTGGTTGCATAATAGGAGGCAACAATCTTCCATCTCTTATCCCTCTCTACTTGTATGTCATGCAATTTAAATTTAAAATTTTTTATTTTTAGCGAAAGGAAGTTACTATAAAATTACTTAGATTGTTGGCCATATATGCAGATTTTTAACTGTTGAACTTGTAAGTTCAGAAACTAAAAATCTGTATATATGTATAAACTTAATGGACTAACTAACTTAATGAATCAATTAACAAAAGGATAAAAAAAAGTGCATTTTTTAGAGTTAAAGGATTATAAAAGTATATAAAATAATTAAGAGATAAAAACCATACAAAACCTTAAAGTTGAAAAACCATATAAAATAATTCATTCAATTATTATGTCTTGCAGTT